AGCAAGTCTTCCACAGATAACAGCTGTAAAGCCTGGTCCTAATTCAAAGAGCATTAATACGAGGGCACTGAAGAGTGAATTGATGCAGCATATTCTGGTGAGGAGTCCAGACTCGGAGGAAGGGAGATAAAAGGCATGAATTCCCTCTTTTTGCTGCTTTTACTCTGGGATCAAGCTAAGTGGTGAGGTTACCGGTCGAAAAACCATAGCCTTTATGCCCTGGGAAGTCTGATGGCTGAGTTGAGAGCAACCTAAAAGGAAAGGAACAAGTGGGGAAGATCCCCAAATTCTGTCTGTATCTCGAGCTGACTCCTAAGCCACATAGACATTGGGTGGTCATGGGAGCGGAGCTAAAGATAAGATGTGAGCTGTGATTGACCTTCCAAATGTTTCTTGGGCCGAAGTTCCAAGTCCAGCCAAGTTGACTGCATGCTAAAACAAAAGAAACCACTCATCTGAGAAAAGTAACAGAATAGAGTCTCCACTATGTGATATTCATAGCCATTCACCACATGCAGTATAGAAATAAGGAAGAAAATGCAACCCTTTCTGAAGGGCAAAAGGCAGTGAATTAAGAGCAACTCCAGCTAATCCAAGTATTAGAATTTGCAAATAAGGGTGTTAAAATAGCTATTATAGCTATCAGTGATGTAAAGGAAAATGTACTTGCAATGAATGAAAAAATAGAAAATACAGAAATTATTTTTTTGATGAAATGGAAATAATAAAACTGAAAACTATGGGGCACCTGGGTAGCTAAGTCAGTTAATCTTCTGACTTCAGCTCAGCTCACCATCTAGCAGATCATGAGTTTGAGCCCTGCATCAGGCTCTCTGCTGTGAGCACAGAGCCCATGGTGGATCTCTGTCTTTGTCCCTTCCCCACTCCTTCTCTCACTCTCTCTCTCAAAAATAAACATCTTAAAAATAAATAAAACTAAAAAATACATGATCTAGAATGAAAGAGGTGCCTGAGTGGCTCAGTTAAGTGTCCGACTCTTGATTTTTGCTCAGGTCATGATCTCAGTTTGTCGGATTGAGCTGACAGCACAGAGCCTGCTTGGGATTCTCCTCCTCTCTCTGTGCCCCTCCCCCTGCTTCTGCACTTGCTCTCTCTTTCACAAAATAAACACTGAAAAAATAATAAAGTGAAAAAAGTTAGAGATGGCCTTAACAGAATGGAGAGGACAGGTAAAAAGACAGTGAACTTGAAGACAGCTGAGTAGAATTTATCCAAATGTGAGTAAGAGAGAAAAGATTTTATTTTTAAGGCGAACAGAACCTCAGAGACCTGTTGTTTAATATCAGACAGTCTGAGATGGGTATGATAGGATTCCGAGAAGAGAATGAAGCAGGCCAAATATTCTAAGAAATAATAGTCAAGGGGCACCTGGGTGGCTCAGTCGCTTAAGTGTCTTTGGTTCAGGTCATGATCTCAAGGTTCCTGAGTTTGAGCCCTGAGTTGGGCTCTGCACTAACAGTGTGGAACCTGTTTGCAATTCTCTCTCTCTGTCTCTCCCCCAGTCTCTCTCTCAAAATAAATATATAGGGGCACCTGGGTGGTTCAGTCCAGTGAGCATCCAACTTCGGCTCAGGTCATGATCTCATGGTTCATGGGTTCAAGCCCCGCGTCAGGCTCTGTGCTGATAGCTCGGAGCCTGGAGCCTGCTTCAGATTCTGTGTCTTCCTCTGTCTCTGCCCCTCCCCCGCTCACACTCTCTCTCTCCCTCTCAAAAATAAATAAACATAACAAAAATTTTTTTAAAAAAAGAAAGAATCCAATTTTTCACAAATATGATGAAAGACAAGTTTGTAACTTTCAGATGCTAACTGAACATCAAGCAGGGTAAATAGAAGGCCTCATCATATCATAGTCAAATTACTGAAAGCCAGAGTTAAAGAGCAAATCTTGAAAGTGCCAAAAAAAAAGCAGTACAATGCACACAGGGTAACAACGGTAACAACTATTTGTTTTATGATCGAGTTTTCATCAGAAACTGCTGAAGTAAGAAAATACCCAAGAAATGTCTTTAAAGTTCTTAGTGGGGAACAGGAGGAAGAGAGGGACTGTCAAACTAGAATTCTGTATCAAGTAGAAATACTCTTTAAGAATAAAAGTGAACTAAAGATATTTTCAGATAAAAATTAAGAATTCATCACCAGAAAACCTGCACTATAAAAAATAACATTGTAAAGGGGTTTATAAAATATGTAGATGTAACACTTAAAAATATCAATAACGGATGGTGGAAGTGGATCTAGATGTTAACCAGGGTTTTATATCTTGTGTACAATGCTACAACATTAAGTAACCTACAAAACATGAAGGCTGTATATTGCATGCCCATACAACTAAAGAAGTACAGCTATTACAAAATAGAAACATTTAGTTAGAATTCCAAAAATAAATGAATATGTATTTTTAAAACACAAGAAAGGAGGAACACCACCACCACCAAGAAAAACAGGGCAAATCAAAACAAAATGGTAAACACACACTTAATCCTATCACTGATTATGCAAGACACAGAAATGGAGTAAACAAGACAATTAAAATGCAGAAATTATCAGAATGACTAAAAAACAGACCCAGCCTAACCGAAGCCCTGCAGTGGTTTCAAGAGATTTCTGTGGGGTTTTTTTTTTTGACATTTCTCCCTAAGTGACTCACTTCTAATACAAGTGGTGGAAGCCATGGTGTTTGACTTCTGATACTAGTTCATAAAAGGCATCCTCCTCCTGCCTTGCCTGCTCTCTTTTGGATGCTAGCTCTGGGGAAAGCCAGCTGTCATGTGGACAGTCCTGCAGCACTCTGGAGAGGCCCGTGCAATGGGAAACTGAGCACACCCCCTCCACCACCCCCCCCCCGCCCCCGTCAACAACCAGCACCAACCTGCTAGTCATATAGTGAACCATCTTTACGATAGTACTCTCCAGCCAAGCTGGAAGATGGCTGTAGCCTGGCCAGCATGTTGACTGCACGCCCATGGAAGTGCCCCCACCAGAACTGCCCACCTCAACTATTCCGAAATTCCTGACCCACAGAAAACGGGAGATAACAACTCTATAGCATCTGAAGCCAGTAAACTTGGAAGAATGTGTAATACAGCAATGCGTAACTAATGTATACATCAGTGAGAGGCATACTTTTTTTTTTCGGTTGATAAAAATAATAACTAAAATTTCTTAGTTTTTGTTTAAATTCCAGTTAGCGGGGCACCTCGGTGGTGGCTCAGTTGGTTAAGTCACTGACTTCTGCTCAGGTCATGATCTCACAGTTCATGAGTTTGAGCCCCACATCCTGTCACTGCAGAGCCTGCTTCAGACTCTGTCTCCCTGTCTCTCTCTCAGAAACAAATCAACATTAAAAAAAAAAAAAATAAGGGGCGCCTGAGTGGCTCAGTCGGTTACACGTCTGACTTGGTTCAGGTCATGATCTCGCGGTCCGTGAGTTCAAGCCCCATGTCAGGCTTTGTTGCTGACAGCTCGGAGCTTGGAGCCTGCTTTGGATTCTGTGTCTCCCTCTGTCTGTGCCCCTCCCCTGCTCACACTCTGTCTCTCTCGAAAATAAATAAACATTTAAAAAAAAAAAAATAAGTTCCAGTTAACATACAGTGAAATATAGTTTCAGGTGTACAGTATAGTAATTCAGCACTTCGTACATTACCCTGTGCTCATCACAAGTGCCCTCCTTCATCCCCATCACCTATTTAATCCATCATCCACCCACCTCTCTTCTGGTAACTATCAGTTTTGTTTTCTATAGTTCAGAGTCTGTTTCTTGGTGTGAAGAGGCATACTTTTTTTTTTTAATAATTTATTATCACTTTAGCTAACTTACAGGGTAACAGTGTATGTTACAGTGTAGGTTGGCCTCAGGAGCAGAGTCCCATGATTCATCACTTACATACAACACCCAGTGCTCATCCCAACAAGTGCCCTCCTCAATGCCCATCACCCATTTTCCCCACCCTCCCCAACTCCCCACCCCCATCAACCCTCAGTTTCTTCTCTGTATTTAAGAGTCTGTTATGGTTTGCCACCCTGTCTGTTTTTCTTATTTTTCCTTCCCTTCCCCTATGGTCTTCTATTAAGTTTCTCAAATTCCACCTAGGAGTGAAAACATAGGGTATTTTTCTTTCTCTAACTTACTGCACTTAGCATAGTACCCCCTCAAGTTCCATCCATGTTGTTGCAAATGGCAAGAGTTCATTCTTTTTGAACGCCAAGTGGCATTCCACTGTAAATATATACCACATCTTCTTGATCCATTCATCAGCTGATGGACATCTGCATTTTTTCCATAACTGAGCTATTGTTGATAGTACACCTTTCATCATTGGGGTACATGTGCCCCTGTGAGTCAGCACTCCTGTATCCTTTGGATAAATTCCTAGTGGTGCTATTGCTGGGTCACAGAGTAATGCTATTTTTAATTTGTTGAGGAACTTCCACACTGTTTTCCACAGTGGCTACACCAGTTTGCATTTCCACCAATAGTGCGAGAGGGTTCCCCTTTTTCCGCATCCTCACCAACATCCGTTGTTTCCTGAGTTGTTACTGTTAGCCACTCTCACTGGTGTGGAATGGCATCTCAATGTGGTTTTGATTTGTATTTTCCTGATGATGAGTGATGTTGAGCATCCTTTCATGTGTCTGTTGGCCATGTGGACATCTTCTTTGGAAAAGTGTCTATTCATGTCTTCTGCCCATTTCTTCACTGGATTGTTTTTCGGGTTTAAGTTGGTAGGTTCTTTATAGATTTTTGATAATAACCCTTTGTCCAGTATGTCATTTGCAAGTATCTTTTCCCATTCTGTCTATTGCCTTTTAGTTTTGTTGATTGTTTCCTTAGCTGTGCAGAAGCTGTTTATTTTTTTTTTTTAATCTATATTTTTGAGAGAGAAAGCCTGAATGGGGGAAAGGGGTCCCTTAATGCTCCCAACTGTTAATGCTTCTGGGTCCGCATGAAAGAAAGCTAATTTATATTCTTTGTTGTAGATTTCCAGTGCACACAGTCAGCAGATGGACGACCTCTTTGATATACTTATCAAGAGTGGAGGTAGGTTACAAGTCACATCAGAACCCGCCAGAGTCACCTTTTATGACAAGGTTTTGAATATTTTCCTTTAGAGCTCATGGCATATCTTTGAGTAGCGAGAAACATATTTTTCTAATTCCAACTATATTTACTGTTTTAAATCTGTTAAATTAGGACACTAAAACTTATAAAATGGAGGAAAAACCATTGTTTCAGCTGAAAACAATAACGTAATGTTAGTTTTATCCATAGATCTCTGCCTTTTGAAAATAACAGACCATCTCAAAAACAGCAAAAGAGAGCCAAATTTAAATTCCACACTGAAAAACTTTAAAACATGTTCCCTATGTATGTCACTGTTATGGGATAAAAGTGCTCTACTTACTTCACACATGAATTCTGTAACAACCACGGGTTACCTAGTTCAGACTGTAGTGACTTTATAGAATTCAAAGGCAATTTTGAAGCACTTTCTACATATAATTGAAAATCTTAGACTTTATAGTGTATCATCTTAAAAGGAGATAAGGGGGGCCACCTAGGTGACCCAGTTGGTTAAGCGTCCAACTCTTGGCTTCGGCTCAGGTTGTGATCTCACAGTTTGTGAGTCTGAGCCCTGCATCAGGCTCTGCGCTGACAGCTCCGAGCCTGCTTGGCATCTCTCTCTCCCCCTTCCCCACTCATGCTGTCTCTGTCTCTCTCAAAATAAAGTTAAAAAAATTTTTTTTCAAAAAAGAGACAAGGGATATTAACCACACACAAAAGAAATCAAGGGTATCTCAACCTCCGCAAACCTATCTTTCAAAACAAATATAAAAAACAGTATTTTAAAAATTCAACAAATACTGTCTGGGAATAAAGTATTCTTAAATTACCTTGGTGAAAGGAGTTTTAATCACTTTTTTAAACAGGGATCAAAATTTCCCCATTCATAGCAGCTTCTATCCCTAAATAGCATAACTGTTTGGTTTTGAAGACACAGGAAATTCTTGATGTTTGACTATAGTTCTACTTGTGCAAATAGATTTTTTTCTTTTCCTAAGAACTATACTGGCATCACAAAGTAATTTAAACTCATTGTATATCTACACCATGGAGATAAAAGAAATAGACATTTCATGGCCATGATTTTAGGATATTTTTAATGGTTTGGGTTTTTTTTTTTTTTTCCAAATCTGGTGAAAATAAAGATTTTTTTATATGATTAGAAAGAATAATTTTTACAGCCTAAATTTGGAAATTAAGATGTGACAAAGTCATCAAATGAGTTATTTCCTACAAGGCATGATTTTTTTTTTTTCATGGCAAAGTATCCAGTGAGTATGTTATTTTATCCTGTTGTAAACCACGGCCAGTAATCATGAGCACAGAGATTTAAATAGTTGATTATGAGCCTGGTTACTGAGATCGCACTGTCAGCTTTCAGAACAATTCTAGGGACGACTACAGGAATTGAGAAACCACAGACCGTCCTAGAGTTGCACAGTCAGCACACACGGTTGACAGTCCCCAAGCAGGAGTCAGCTTGTAGGTTCTTTCCCTTATTAAGCATCCCGGCCTTTGAGCTCTCACAGCTGTTACTAAATCCACCCTTCCTGGCGTGTCTGCATACGAACGAAACCAATCAGATACCCTAAGAAAGTAAAAAAAGATACTTTATTTAAGTAAATGTATCTATAGCAACACTGCAATCTAATGCAAATGGTGTTAATTTTCTACTTGATCCAGCAACGAGTAACACAGATTTAGTGCTTATTAAGACATTTGCCAGATCTTCAAGATTTTGTATAAATTCAGAAAACAAGACAAAAAAGGCAGAAAAGTAAGGTGACCCATCTTAAAAAAGAGGGTCAAAGGAGCCGTGTGTTAGCTATAATTCACAAATAAAAGATGGTGGGCATTGCATCTCTTTCGAACTTTATACAGAACGTATATAGTTCAACTATAATGATAGTAGGAAAAAGAATATAGTTAGAGCTTTCAGGATATTAAGAATGTACTTCATGGCTGCACAAACTGGGAACACAGTTGTGACATTAAGGTTCACTTTAAGGGTGGTTGCTGCTGTGACGGCAGATCCATGGTATAGGACAAGACATGAACCCTGTCCGAAGCCTGAAGTACCTGGGAACCAGGACCCAAAGATCAAATTATCAATTAAATGTCACCATCAGCTCCTCCCTGGTGCCATATCACTGCTTGTCATGCTTACTGCTCTTAAGTAACAAGACTAGAAAGCATATCAGAATGTTATAACCTGAAAATGTTTATTCAGCTAAAAAGAGCCATCATCCTACAGGCGATCAAGGACTCTATCTGACCAATAGCATTCTCTTCCTACCCCTAAGACGGACTGTGTAGAAGTCCTCACAAAATAGCAAAAGAACTGTCCTAATTCATAAAAATGTTTAAATAGTATCACGTCCTTACTTACTAATCACTTCAATTATTTTACACAGAGATTTCCCTCCCTATAAAAGAAGAGCCTTCTCCCATTTCCAAAATGAGACCAGTGACAGCCAGCATCACCACAATGCCAGTCAACACGGTGGTGTCCCGGCCCCCGCCCCAAGTCCAAATGGCACCACCCGTCTCCTTAGAACCCCTGAGCAGTTTATCTGCCAGCTTAGAGAACCAGCTAGAAGCTTTCTTGGATGGAACTTTACCTTCGGCCAACGAAATTGTTCCCCTGCAAAGCAGCAGTGAAGACAGAGAGCCCTTCTCTCTGATCGAGGACCTCCAAAATGACTTGCTGAGTCACTCAAGTGTGCTGGACCATTCACACTCACCCATGGAGACTTCTGAAGCCCAGTTTGCTGCAAGTACCCCCTGTCTGTCACTTGACCTCTCTGACTCAAACTTAGACAACATGGAGTGGCTGGACATTACCATGCCCAACACGTCGGGACTCACTCCCCTCAGCGCCACCGCTCCCAGCATGTTCTCCACTGACTTTCTAGATCCACAAGACCTGCCGTTGCCATGGGACTAACATCACAGATTTCTCGTCCGAGTTCCTGACGTCTAAGAAGATGAAGATCGTTCTGAAGAGGGCAGTTTTTAGAGACAGATCCATAGCGGCGTTGTTGCAATTAAAATATGTTGTCATAGAAAGGGTGGCTAGATGGTCACAGCCTGGAAACCAAGTGTGAAAACATGTCATTGCATCCGGCGGTGAATTTCTACAATTTAACATAGCACGGGGCCTTCTGAAAAAATCGCTGGTCAAAGAAGACTCATTCGTTTTTCCAGACTTCAGTAAAGAATGCAGAGTACCTTTAGATAAAGACATGACAGAGAGTGACGTGTGCAGGATAACTACATGAGGGTTCTCCGTCAACTACATTTAAACCTCTGTGGTCGCTTTAAGACCCCAAATAGAAGGCAGACAGCTCCACTCACAAGAGGATGCCAGTTGAGGGAGGTGAGAGGTCACTGCACGTGGTGTTTCCTAGAAATGGCCTGGGCCTGGTCAGGCAGCACAGGCAGTGGAGAGAGAGCGCCAGCCAGTTCCGGGACAGCTTCCAGCTGAAGATTTTCGGTTCCATTCAGAAACCAACATAATTTTTTGTGTGTTGTAGTTTATTTTGTGGTTTGGGGAATCTTTAGATTCCCAAATTTCAATTCAAATGGATGATCTTTCACCATCACCAGACAATGTGTAAAAAAAAAAAAAAAATACGGTCATAAACCACTGTACAAAGTCCACATATAATGAATGATAACACTGAAAATTCTATTAGCAACCCTCGGGGTTGATTAGATTGATTTTCATGTGTATATTAGACACTTGTATGTACACTCTCACATGTGGTATGTACAGCCTACACTGGGGTAAGGGAGTGGGTAGCCAGCGGTTCTACTTGTTTTAATAACTAGAGTATTTCTAGAGTACTTGAGCCATGTGTATTTCTGTATTTAAAGAAAAGCTGAATGATTTCAGGTAACCAGACCCATCTCAAAGAACCCAGGAGGCTCCAGTGTGAACGGTCCTCCTGAGCTGGTGAGTTGCAAAGAGAGGGCAGGGGAGAAGGCTGTCGTCAGCCGGGACATTCCTGCAGCGGCTCCGAGTTAGACTCTCACCAGGCTGGCCGCCAGCCCCCAGCTCTGGCCGCCTCTCCTGTCGCTTTTCCCTGCCTGTCATTTTATAGGCTTGTAACTGGATGTCCTACCCGAGTTCTCGCTATATTATCAGGCCGAAGATTGAAAAACTGGAGGTTTTAGTAGTTTTTTTTTTTTACATAGAAGTCACGTTTGTTGAGTAGTTTCTGAAGAGTTTTCTAAAATGCCAACTATCACAGGACTTCCAAAATTAGGTCAAGCTAGTCATTTAAGTATACGATAAAATGTAAATAACTGAAGAAAAACCCTGCAATCTACCAAAAAGCGTGAAGGTGTTTGTTAAATACCATTGTCATGCTCTACGCCTTGCTTTGTGTGAACCCGAGGGTCAGGCTGATCTCTCTGGGTCGTGAGGTGGTGATATCCCCACAGCGACGTGGGAAGAGCCAGCCTGACCCACTGTCTGGAAAGAACTGGGGAATCACTGCCGGGTTTGCGTTCTGCCGCAGAGCCGACCTCCTTTCAGATTTTTATTTTGGTTTCTCGATCTTACTACATGCAAGGAAAGTTTGTTTTTTCCGTATCCGGTCGCCCCGCACACTGCAGCCCTCTGTGAGGTGGCACTTCCCAAGTTGAAAGCACTTCTGAGTGGTTCGAGGCAGAAGCGGTTATGCTCAGTGTGGTCTGAGTAGTTGAGATGGCGAGGAACTGGCAGGCCGGCGCATGCAATCTAGAAACTTCGAAGCAGGATGTACCCGTGAGCAAGGGCGAGGGCGCCAGCCGCCCTCTGGGGATGGAGGGCCCGTTCGCTCGGGCAGGCCCTTCCTCCTCTCAGGGGAGGTCAAGGCCCGGGGCTTCACTCAGATTGAAACGAGGCTTACGAGGTTGGCACCCGACATCGTGGGACCGCAGGGGACGGTGGCGCCGCCTCGTGTCTCGACCCCG